ACATCCATATTTATTATCTCTTTTATGTGTTCACAATGCGACCGTTAAGGAGAACGCGGAAGCATCGGGTTGTAGATTCCGGTTATAAATGACGGTGTGTTTAAGAGAGAGAAAGAAGAAGATGAAAAAAAGAAACGATACGAATGATACATACACACATGTGGAGATGAAAAAAAGGATGGTGATCACCGCGACGTAGTGGACACAACGAATCGAACGAGATATGTAAGTGGAGAAAGAGAGAGACGACGGCCGCCTTCGGGCGACAAATATCGATGTGAACGAGACGAAAGGATAATTCGGATTTATTAAAAGGCGTACACTTGTGCCTCTAACTACGCGCCTCTTTGCATGGTCGTTGACGGTCGATGGCTTCTGGTGCAGGCTTGTACAACCACTGGCAAAAATTGCGATCGGTTTGACGAGTGCAGGAATTATTCGCAATATGTCGCGGGACCGATGTGAGAAAGTGACACTTACAAAATGTCCCCAAGTGTAACGTTGACTTGTTAATGAGGTTTAGGACAGTGATAGAGATGGGAATTTTGAAGTTAATGATACTTGTTTCAGACGCATGTGGCTGTTAGTTTATGAAATATGTAATGTGAAATTTGATGGCTATATACAAGGTGTTTTCAAACTAGTGGTACAACTCGAATTGATGTGATTCTACATGTAAAAGTAAGTCGAAAATATAGAATAAAAATTTCTCGTATGATGCTTCGTTTTCAAGATAAGTAATTTTCGGAATACATCTAACACGTGTGGAAGACGTATACGCGAATAACAGTAGTGTTGACAGTAAGTAGAAACAGAATGCAATGGACAGACGCGTTAACCAAGTGCCGTTTAACTGCACGCGCATCCAGCAGATTTTCAAATTCGAAAATGAAGCATCGTACGAAAAAATTTGATTCTACATACTCGGTTTATTTTTGCGTGTAAAATCACACCCTTTTGGATCCACAGTTCGGAAACACCCTGTATATAGCCTACAACTTTAATATTAAATATCTTATAAACTAATGGTCATATATGGCTGAAACAAATGTCATTGATTTGAGAATTCCATGCTCTATCACCGGGGACATCTCCTTGTTAGATGCAAACGTAAATGAAAGAGATAGAGTGAAATTTGTTCAGGTCAGATCGCATTCTCGAGGAAATTTTGGTTCAAACATGAGGAACGCGAATATTTTTTCTTTACGTATTATACTATCGTTAAATTGATAGAAAATTAATTGAAAAGTAAATGTTTTCTCAATTGCGCTTCGAGTAGAATAATCTTCAAAAATGTTAAATCTGGGTAAATATTTGCAGGCTATATATGCTACAGAATTTATCAATGAGGTGATAAAAAAGATTCTAAGGAGGAAGGTAACAGAAGAGATAACCGGTTTAACTATTTGTTATTGTTGTGAATTTCTCTCAACGAACCTGACAGCCAGCCATTGTATATGTTTCTGACCAAAGCAAACAATACTTTCAAGCTATTAAATTATTCTTCCTACACGCTATACGTGTATCAGAATTTTATAGCCAGATCTATTAAAGTTAATTCTACCTCAAATGAACGTTTAAAGCATATTCAAGATTGACTTTCCCGAGAACGAAAGTTGACAAGAGAAAATTTTATTCTACTTTTCTTTATTTTTACGTTGAACCAGTTGCTCCTAGATTACAAGACTATTTATTTAAGGTGAAAAGTATTATTCTAGTATTATTGTAGTGCATATGTTATATGTAATACATATACATCAATTTTTGGCCAAAAAAGATCAAGTTTTTAATGGAAAATTGTCGCTAACTGTATTTGTCTACTACAATGCACAGCTACTTTATTCCTTTAGTGACAATACTTGGAACATTTCTTGACGATTGGCAGTGTGAATCTTCTTTAAATGACATCCAAACATTAGAAAAACGGTGTTAGTGTGACTACTAGTTCGTTATTCATTGTGAGCAAGCACTCTGTTTACAAAAAAAAAAATTGTATTGTTTCAAATAGTCTTAAAATGACTATTAGTTCTTCCCTTTCAAAAAGAAATATTTATACAAGACACAAAAAAGATGCAGTCAGTGGGCTAATACTTTTTACACTTCTATCTTAAGTCCACTAAATACTTGCATAAATACCTGAAGCTTAACGATAAATATTTCTTTCAACCGGATAGAATGAATTTTCATCGTGAACTGGTCGATTCCCGCGAGTAAATACTTTTTGCCAGGGGTTGTAACCAGTGCGCCGAAAGTATAATTAACGTGCACCAGCGATCAACCGTCTCGACGACTCCCCGACATCCGAGTTATCCCTGAAAGTTCATGGATTTCTCTCGCTGTCTCTTTCTTGGCCTCTCCATTTCGCCTTATCGCCGGCGACGAGACCGGTAATTAATCGAGGAAAGTGAATATGATACCGATGCAGTTTCGAGCCCATATTACACATCCTGCCAGAGAGGCTGGTCAGATACTACCATTTGTGTGTATCCTGTTTAACTCTACCTTCACCAGGACTCACGTAGCACTAGCAAAACGTGGATTTTTGTACAGTGATTCGAGTACTCGATAAACGGGTATACACGATTATCATGAGTCGCTATCCCATCGCTCGTAGATCCTGTTTGGTCTATCGATCGGTCCGGTGACGATACCGCTTGATCATTGTACGCTCGATCTTTTTTTCCCCCATCGATCGTTACGTAACTGCGAACTGTGAGACTAACTGTGAATGAAAGTATTTAATCGGCACGATCGATCGTCTGCTACATCACTGAAATTGATCGTTCTCACATTCATGCGCATAATGTTTCGTACAGACTATTTTTAAACTTTGTTAAATTGCTTTTGTGTATATTTAAGGATACTCTGAAAAGTTTAAGAATAGGGTTATTTAATTATTATTTGTTTATGTTTTCTTTCTTTCGAAATAGAACGGGATTATCCTTGCAATGGCAAAGGAAGGTATATTTGAGTTTATTGATAAACAGTTTTTACGAGAATTTTGAATTGGAACGGTTTTTAACCCTTCAACGCCAGTGTAACGTATACACTGTCACATCTAGAAAATCATATTTCCAGGGAGTTTGTCGCGAAAATACAAATGAGGTGCACGTATTGAAACCACTTTTGAATTAACCAATCGCGAGAAATAATTTTTTCCCCAGAAGAGGTATTTGAGCGTTAAAGAGTTAAAAATAAATAAAAAAAATTTCTTAAATAGATTGGTTTAATATCGATATTTTCGACTTCAAAATAACAAGATATAACATATATATCAGTTTCATGATTTTGAAATGACGATTTAAGGGTCTGAACGTTAAAGGGTTAAAGAGTAAAATTGGGATAAACGCTTTTTGCAAAGAAAATTTAAATTTGAGTCCGTTTATTTTGAAAAAAGAAGAAATTACCGAAGGTGGAGTTTCATAGAGAAGGATTTAATTCATTTCGAATCTGCATTTTTTTCAGCCATGAACTCATCTAATCGCGTGTTATTGGTCTTTTGCGTGGCTTCTGCTATGATCTTCATGCTCGCTGATGGAAGTCCATTCGATCGAGCCATTGGTAAGTCTTTTCTTTCACAAATAATATTCACGCAATTACCGACTCCTCAACTTGACCTTTTAAATGCAATTATACATTTTCATTTTTTTCATCTGATTAACCCCTGAATTAACGTTGGACGATTGAACAAAAAAAGAATAAATTCCTCATTGCCCTACGGTATATGATTTTGAAAATTGTTCCTCTATTCTATTTCTATATATTCTTAAGTGAAAATAATTGAATCGAATAAGTCAAGTAACGAACTTATAGCGAATAGTTCGTTAATGATGCTTACTTATTAATGAAAAGGAAATAAGAAGAAATGAGAGCGTAGAGGAATCGAGCTTGTAGCGAAGAAATCTACTAATATTTTTTTTCCATTATCTTTTTATTATAATTTCCAGGTGTCTGTATAAGAAACTGCGCCCAATGCAAGAAAATGTTTGGACCATACTTCCTGGGGCAGAAGTGCGCCGATTCCTGCGTCAAGTACAAAGGAAAGCTCATCCCCGACTGCGAGGATGAAGGTTCGATTCAGCCGTTCCTCCAAGCACTGGACAGCGACTATTAACGATTATCGTCCGTATAAAGTTCCTAGCAATTCATACGCGTCGAGAATACCTAATGTCCTCTAAGCGTGCGTATCTGTGCGTGTATCCCGCCTATATTGTGCAAGGGAAAGTTTAATCGACGATCTGTCGCGATCTTTGCCTATGGCCGAACGTGATCAATGTTTACAGTATTTTCTTATTACTCATTTGTTTTATATATATACAACTATAGAGGCATATTTAGATGAAATTTCGATCGTATTAAACACTGCGATCGATGCTCGTGACTGTGACAAATCGAATAACGTATTGCAACCACAAAGTTTTGATATCCGCAAAAAATTCTCGTAAGAATTTTGATTTTTGGAAATCGAACTGTGTACAATGGAAGATATTCCGTATTTAAACTCATCGAGACTCACGAATCTTATCTAAAATTCTTTTATTTCTTTCATGTAATTTTAACGTCCAGCCGAGTAAACATACTTAATATACTACTCGTTGTAAAGTATTATTTATCAAATAAGAGACAGAAGAAGAATACGCAACGGAGAGAAAGTGATTCAAAGAGTCATGTTGCTGGAACGCTCTACATATAAAAAGAAACAAACACAAACGACCAAGTTTACATAATCATAATATTATCCACGATGTTCGTCACACGATAAATGCTGTAGTGTCACGAACTCCTTCTTGAATTATCACTAAGATAATTTATCGTTTAATACCATCGATCTGTAAAAAATTATTCGAAACAATCTATCCTTCGTCACCGACATAAACATCTCTACACCTGAAAATGGTACCAAACCTCGAAAAATGCGCACCAATGTGTCCCGAATCGCGAGCATCTTTGGAGGCGTTACCGTAAATATATTGCAAACGTTGTACTCACCGGAAGTCCACTTACTCCGCAGTCGGGGGCGTCACGTAACACTCCGGTATCGTAGACAATGTTTGCCTCGATTCCAATTGCTGTACCTGAAAAACAAAAAGAGTTGAAGCGAATTTTGTTACGCTTGTTCCTTTTTTTTTTGCTACGATCGCATTGTTTTTTGTTTCCTTCGAATGTATATTTACACGTTGTCGAAGCGTCTTTTCGTTCATGGCTGCTCTCGATAATAAATGTTTCACTTTGTCTAAGAGTTCGGACTTGTGGTTCAATTGCTCCCTCAACACCTGCACCTCCCCGCAATCGTCGTCCTTCTGGACGGTTTGCAACGCGGCCAATCTTTGCTCGGCCAGCTGCAAATCCGCTTCCAACGCGACCACGCGTTTCTGAGCTGCTTCGTATTGTTTTTGCAACGAACTATCGCTCTGTCTGACGGACAATTTTCCCTGAACGCGAAATTAGAAGGGAACGTTAAGTTTTGTTAACGCAAAATGTAGTACACGGGGCTGGATTAACCATTAAGCAAAATAAGCACGTGCTTAGAGTATCACGGAAAGGGGGCCACCACAGACATTTTTTTATTGCTAGATTCACCATGGACTAATTTCAATGTATATTTAAAAATATATAATCGAATAAACTCTTAATGTACCCCTATTGAGGATTCATTCCTTTTTCAGATTTGGTGATATTACAAAATTTCTTGCATAAAAATAATCTCTTCTCCTGTTTCTAACAAATACTGGCCTGACAAATATTATGACAAAGATATGATGGAATTACAGTTTGATCGAAAACTTTCGACAACCACTGTACGCATATAGGAGCACCAAAATCTTTTAAGTGCTCCCTGTTAGTCTCTTTACTAAGCAGAACTGTGGAATCGTGAGACTATTGATCACTCTGCTTCAATAAATAATCGTGGATAGTCCTGATCTAGCTACCAGAGAGGCATTACTGTAATTAATAGAATTTCCGTGCCTGATGGACAAAGTGATTCTTTTTCGAACCGATCCTGAGACGCTTGTTCTCCGCCTGTAATTTCTCGACGATTCTTTTCAACGTGAAAATAGTTTTCTCCATTTCTATGCTCGACTGTTTTGAACCGTGCTCCTGTGATTCTCTGTCTGATAACCTGGGCGTCGAATCGGACGATTTCTCTGCTTTCAATAGATCTATGTATCTGAGTGGAGAAAGAGATTATAAATCAGGTGATCAATCGATCATCTTACTCATTAGCTTGGAAACCTACTTTTCTAAATGCTCAACTTTTTCTCGCAATCTCGGCGCGTCAGCGTTAGCTCTTTCTATTTCGAGTCGTAGCTCGAAGTTCTCACTTTCTAAGGTTAGATTCATTTTCTCGAGAATGTCCTTGGTCATTTCTAGCTTCTCTAATTGCGCCGCGACGCAGTTGTTACCCTAAAGAATATTTTTAAATGTGAGAATCTATAGTTAAATGAAATATATTTTATAGAAGTGAGAATTGCAGAGTCCAGACTATTTTACATATTTTTTTATACTCGAATATTCACGTATTTAAATGACGTATTTACCTTATTACCCATCACTTTTTACCACGCAATAATTTATGCAAATGTAGAATAAATTCAACATTCAATCAACGTACTGTTACCACGAACACCCCCTGTGTGTACTTCAGTAATAATATTCGAATACAAAAATATTCAAAGTTCACTTTCAAAATAAGGATATGAATTATAATTTCAAATTGTAAATCGTCGTTCCTGACACCTTAATCTTTGAAGTTTTTTACCCAACCCACCTGAGAAACAATTTCCAGGGCAGCGATACGTCTCTTTTGATCCTCGATTAACAACAACAGT